TGACCCCTAAAGGATGTCAAAGTTCAAACTTTGTAGCCTGAATCTATTTTTTTCAAAACATAATTTTGGGTTACAAATGTGTGAAAGGGTGTAACTCAATAAATAAATATGATAAAATTGCATGGATAAAGCAATCCTTAATCCATAATTGGGCTAGTTATTTGATTTACATTGAAAATTTTAAATTAAAACACCGTTGACATAAATATGAGATTTTACCACACATATACTGAAAATGCATCCTGATTATTGTGTTTTCCATAAGTGCTGATATGTTTTTAGTCATATAAAACCAAAATAATTGAGAAAAAAATAAATGTTAATTTTTAGGTCATATCCACCTAATTATGGAATTGCCCATGTGTATATATATATTATTTATGTATATATATGTATATATATTGTATGTATATTTATTTATTTATATTTATATATATATTATTTATATATATACGTATATATATATATATACACGTATACATATATATACGTATATATGTATATATATACACGTATATGTATATATATACACGTATATATACATATATATACACGTATATATACGTATATATACACGTATATATACGTATATATACACGTATATATTCACATATATATATACATAATATATATATACGTATATATATACAAATATATATATATACGTATATATATTCATAATATATATATACGTATATATATACAAATATATATATACGTATATATATACATATATATATACACGTATATATATACGTATAATATGCATGCGTATATATATACACACGCGTATGTATGTACACTCGTATATATGTACACGCGCACGTGTATATATGCACACGCGTGCGTATATACATAAATATATATATATACGTGTATATATATGTGTATACGTATGTATATACACATGTATATATATGTGTATACGTATGTATATACACGTGTATATATATGTGTATGTGTATATATATATATATATATATATAAATCAAGGTAGCCGTTAACACTGTTAAATTATATACATAAATCATCAAAGAAAGGTAAATACAGTGTTCAAATAAAGGACATCGTGTAGCATAGCTCGCAACGAATGTAGTCCTGTAAATAAATGAATAAAGAAATTGTGTAATAAAATACCTGCGAACCTGCGACCTCTCGCTGTCAAGGCGAGCGTCATAACCATTAGACCAAGGAGGCTTCATGGTTAAACAGATTCAAATACCACCCGATACACTCCATTACACAATAAGTACGGCTAGAAACAAATAATAGCATACACTGAAATAGGGCCTATATACTTTTTAAGTCATGTATCATGCATAGGAACGTTGATGCCTGCAAGGCTCTGGTTCATGCTTGTTAAAAACTATAACCATGATGTTTTGAGGGGTTTTTTTTACAAAACAGACTCTTTGTCATTCTTTGCCATCATTGTTCTACAGTTTGTAGTTTGCTCTTTTAACTCTATAAAATCTTTCATTTTCTAAGTTTTGTCATTATATATCATTACTCCTGCTTTTTAATGTTACCGTTAATCCTTTATGTTATTATTATTATTGTAGTATTACATTGTTTTAGTATTCTGTTTTTATTCAGATGTTCATTGTTGGAAATTTATTATTAATTCCTATTCTCAAGGTTGTCTCTCTATGAGACCCTATAAGGTGCAGAATGAGTTAATAAGTAATTTTCGCCTAATGATGTTAACTTTAACTTTAACGTTAGTACCCAACATGCAACACGTTAATTCCGCCTCTTTTGTGAACAAATCGAAATATGCATGCACCAACCCGTAACTAACGTACTTCGAGCACGTAAAATCCTGAAATTAACGTAAGGCAAGATGAATAAATTATAATGTCATCCGTTAACGTTAAAGTTAACGTTGTGCGGCGAAGACTACGTAGTGTTTGAAAGTTTGCAAATACAACTCCGCATAACACCTTCTATTTTGTGCAGCTCTTTTTGTAGGAAAATTACACCACAAGGAGGCTATGCTTTTACTGTATAGCATAAAGAGAGTAATTCTAGTTATTAATTTCTTAATTATTTTTTAATCTGGGACTAGGCGAACAATACTATGTAACCAAAGTCATTTTTTGTATTCATTTTTCATTCAGAAGTTTGTTGTTAGAATACTTATTTGTTCTCATTGATTTTTTTGTTTGTTAACAGCAATTGGTGCCTGTTCAAACAATGCATGTCAGAATGGGGGTGCCTGTGTAAGTGTTCCCAATTCCTGTACTCCTTATACCTGTACCTGTCCATCATGTTATACTGGACCTTTCTGTGAAAGTCGTAAGTACAAGTCTGCAAAACTAGGTTACTGCTAGGTTTGTCTAAAACCAATTCACACAGATCAACAGTTCTCACTCTGACCCAGCATTTGTTAGCCAAGCAAAAGGTGAAACTGTTGCTATGGCTACCTAGTATAGCTGGTCAAACTGGTTACGCACAACTGCATAACCAAGGTGAGTTGCCTTTCACATAGACACATTAATGGGTCTGACTTGGGTCAGACACAGCATATTAATTGGTCTGACCCCCTTCTTTTTTGCTGGATTACTTTTCACCTGGCCTATCTGTCAGGAATCATTTCACAGACACGTTGCAGGGCCTCTGGCCCAACTTAATTGTTTACGACATTTTAAGGCTGAGCGAGCACCATAGTATATTGGCTTAAGATAAGAAATTTTGTTTCATTGCTTTATGACATCGTGGAAATCACATTTTTCGTGAAATTTTCGGGTATTTAAAAAAATCGGGAGATTATTAATAAAAATCGGGAGGGCGGGAGACGGCCTAAAAAATCGGGAGAAATCCGCAATTTTCGGGAGACTTGGGATCTCTGTTATTATTGTTGTCATTGTTGTTGTTGTTATTATTTTTTATCATTTTATATATTAATAATTTTATATTATAATAATAATTTTAATATTTAAAATGGACATTTCTTGATTTACTCTGTAGTTGTGAATCCTTGCAACAACAATGCTTGTCAGAATGGAGGTGCTTGTTTCCAGGTTTCTGGTTCCTGTACAGCATACACATGTACCTGTCCATCATGCTACACTGGACAATTCTGTGAAACTTGTGAGTATGAATGTTGTTTACATTCAGCAAATTAATATATTTAGTCTTAGGACTTCGTGGAAGTTTTGAACGACGGGGTGTCCTGGCCTTTCAACGATTTTGGGGGAGGGGTGGATTGCTTTTCATGAACCCCCCAACTAACACTGGTGGAAGGATGGCTCTATTACTTGAGAAGTGTTCCTTTTAAAAACAGTAGAAACAGTGGCAAATGGAAATATATAAATAAATAATGGATATGCGATATATGCCATTTTCCCGTTCTGCTAGTGACTTGATCTTGTGCAAGCGACACTAAGATAAGGCTTATAAGTCTCTCGCACACAAACTAAAACATTAATTGTGTAATTTCAGTGCTAAATGCTTGCAGCAGCAATGCCTGCCAGAATGGAGCGGCATGTGTAGCGGTGGCCCCATTTTTGTAAACTCTATTTTTGTTTACTGTGTAACTGAGCTTCCAATATAGAAAGACAGGCCAATCTTAATTGTTGTTATTATTGTTGTTGTTATTATTTTTTATCATTTTATATATTAATAATTTTATATTATAATAATTATTATAATATTTAAAATGGACATTAAATTGGTGACAATTTGTTGTTCATGTTCTCTGTTATGGAGAAGGATGACTTTTTCAGCAATTTCTTGTTGCGAAATACCTCTACTCGTGTGCGGTAGGTGGAGAATTTTATGATAATCAGACATGGTTTAGTGCGGGATTTGTTGACTCGCCACGGATATTTGATGAATTATGGTGAATTTTTATTGCTTATTTGATAGGCATCGAGCTACTATAATATGACTTCATGTAGGCTATATTTTCTACTGTCGAAATCAGCTTCCAAAACCAAAACATTTTGAATAAAACAAGAAACAAACAGTATGCAATGTAACCATCTAATTTATTTTCAAATCCTCATTCTTGAAAGTGAAATTCTACATTTTGGAAATTTTGCATTTGTCAACGCTATCAAAGTTGAGGTTGCTTCCCCTATCACAATGTATTCAAAGCATCATGAGGCTATCCAAACGAGCATTTGTCATAACAGAACGCAAATTATTTTTAATTAGTCTCATTGAACTATTATTAGGCCTATTATTATTATTATTATTAGTATTATTATTAGTTTATGGTTTAATGAAAGTAAATAATTTTTTTATTTGTTTATTCCCCGACAAAATTTACTCGTCTTCCCCAAGGGGGGATATAGCCCCCCATTCCCACCTTCATTTTCGCATATTGATGCTATAATCTTATCCATAAGGCTGGGTGATGATAGTATGTGTGTTTGAGGTTCATCGTTTTATGGAAAAAAGAATATGTATGCAATGTATGTATACCGGTACACACATAATAGCCTATTTACTGTAATAAGAATGAGAACATTTTACCTGATCGTTTTGAATGGGGAAAACCTTGAATTTTGAAGAACTAAAAAGTTGTTAAAAGTCACTTCAGAAGTCGGGAAAGCTCATTTCCCGCCATTTAGAAATCAGCATTTTCCCTTGGAGAACATGAACCAGCCTTCATCTTTGGGGTTCATTGATTCATAAAATTGTTTTCAAGGGGAAAAAACCTTGAATTTTGAAGACGGTCAGATGAAGACGATACTAGTATTAATATTCCAAACTACATTGAAAATGAATATATAAGTGTTGACGGTTTTATATCAAAATATTCTCTAAATAAAGCTATTTTTCATGTTTCTTCCTAAATTGTAGAAGCATTGTAAGAAAATTCTAGTGTTTGTTAATGTTTTACTGTTATATAAATTATCTAATTTATCATTATATATTTACAGTACCATAATATGACATTGATTTCATGTATTAATATTATTATTCTTTGTTATATTTATTCATTTACTAATATACTTATCTATACTTATACTGTGCGCGTGTCGATAATGCGTGTAATTTTGTTCTGTATTTTTACGCATTGTTCTGTATGTACGCATCAACATCTATATATATTGAAACGTATGAAAAATAGGCCTACGTTAATTTTTCATGTATAAAAATTATTTGGTTTTCAATCACTTATTTGATAATTATTTAAATTACTTGATAAATTGATTATTAATATTAAAATATTAGAATCTACTTAAGTGAACATAGTAGATAGTATATAATAGTAAGAAATAATAATATCCTCAAGATGTATTACACTGGTTAGTAACGTTACATGGTTAGTAACGTTACATGGTTAGTAACGTTACGGATTTCGACTGCTTTTATTAGCCCTGTTACCAAATAAGAATCAGAACTATTTTTGTTTTTTGCTTCAGTGTTATACAGAAGAGCAATATTTAAAATAAGAAAATTCCTAGTAATTGCTTTCTCCTTATACAAAAATAATCTTGTGTTTTTGGTGAGTAACGTTACATGACCCCTAAAGGATGTCAAAGTTCAAACTTTGTAGCCTGAATCTATTTTTTTCAAAACATAATTCTGGGTTACAAATGTGTGAAAGGGTGTAACTCAATAAATAAATATGATAAAATTGCATGGATAAAGCAATCCTTAATCCATAATTGGGCTAGTTAAATGATTTACATTGAAAATTTTTAATTAAAACACCGTTGATATAAATATGAGATTTTACCACACATATACTGAAAATGCATCCTGATTATTGTGTTTTCCATAAGTGCTGATATGTTTTTAGTCATATAAAACCAAAATAATTGAGAAAAAAATAAATTTTAATTTTTAGGTCATATCCACCTAATTATGGAATTGCCCATAAGTATATATATTATTTACGTATATATATGTATATATATTGTATGTATATTTATTTATTTATTTATATTTATATTTATATATTATATTTATATATATATTATTTATATATATACGTATATATATATATATACACGTATACATATATATACACGTATATATACACGTATATATACACGTATATATATACATAATATATATATACGTATATATATATACGTGTATATATACACGTATATATATACGTATAATATGCATGCGTATATATATACACACGTATGTATGTACACGCGTATATATGTACACGCGCACGTGTATATATGCACACGTGTGCGTATATACATAAATATATATATATATACGTGTATATATATGTGTATACGTATATATATACGTGTATATATACGTGTATACATATATATATGTGTATATATATATATATGTATATATATATATATGTATATATATATATCAAGGTAGCTCTTAACACTGTTAAATTATATACATAAATCATCAAAGAAAGGTAAATACAGTGTTCGAATAAAGGACATCGTGTAGCATAGCTCGCAACGAATGTAGTCCTGTAAATAAATGAATAAAGAAATTGTGTAATAAAATACCTCGGCGGGACTCGAACCTGCGACCTCTCGCTGTCAAGGCGAGCGTCATAACCATTAGAATGTCAGAATGGGGGTGCCTGTGTAAGTGTTCCCAATTCCTGTACTCCTTATACCTGTACCTGTCCATCATGTTATACTGGACCTTTCTGTGAAAGTCGTAAGTACAAGTCTGCAAAACTAGGTTACTCATGCTAGGTTTGTCTAAAACCAATTCACACAGATCAACAGTTCTCACTCTGACCCAGCATTTGTTAGCCAAGCAAAAGGTGAAACTGTTGCTATGGCTACCTAGTATATAGCTGGTCAAACTGGTTACGCACAACTGCATAACCAAGGTGAGTTGCCTTTCACATAGACACATTAATGGGTCTGACTTGGGTCAGACACAGCATATTAATTGGTCTGACCCCCTTCTTTTTTGCTGGATTACTTTTCACCTGGCCTATCTGTCAGGAATCATTTCACAGACACGTTGCAGG